TTGTGGCATAAGCCGTTTTCTACAGGCACTTTTTACCGGCGTATTTTTCATTATGATTCTACTTGTGATAGTCGGACATGACAACCTGTGCACCATATGTATTGATTCCATCCTGATATAATACAATACAAAACAAAACGTCTGCCTCTCTCCACAATGATCAATAACAGCAAACGGATGGTCAAAGTAAGGTGCAAATAAACGGAATCACACGAAGCCTGGTTAGTGTTGCCTGACTTTATAAAGTGTGTGTTTTTTTATAAGTGTGTGGTTGCCTTCTATTCACTTTGCTCAGCACTACTGCTTGTAGGAAGGCATGACGAGACTCTTCAGTCGACCATGTTCAGGGGAGGTGGGTTTAGTTTCCTGCACGCCTCAACGTAAGCGACGCCGCCTCTTAGCTCCGAAGCTCTTGCCTCTAGACCGACAATTCTTTGGAGCTGGAAGTGAACCGGATTCTGGAGCTAAGAGGCGGCGCCGCTGCGGTGTGAACAGGAAAAACCGGTACTTTTCGGTATTTTTCCGGAGCTGAAAACGCGTTGGTGTGAAAGGGGCATAAGTGAGAGTTGAAGACAGTGGGTTTAGTATGCAGCACAACGTGTCATTCCCCCTATATTCATGTTCACAATATACCATTAGCTACATGCTAATGGCTAAAAACAATGATTAACGTGAAACCGGAGGTTGACATGCGGTTTCAGAATAAAACTGTGTATTCATTTAAAGTTCCGGCACTTATATATTGATTTGATTTCTTACAATGTATTCCCATCCAACAGTGTTTTGCTAACTCCTCAGAACTGGAGGCTATGTGCGTGCGTGCGGTGCGTGCGTGCATGCGTGTGTGTTACATTGTGAGCCTCCCCTGTGTAACTGTGTGTTTAGTCGCCATGGAGTTTGGGAACAGGCCGTCCAACATGGGCTGTGTTTTCACTCCAATGGTCCTGGTAATGGTCTGGTCCGTGTGGATTGACGCTGGCTCCAAGTCGCCCTGACAGAAAATCAACTGCTTACTTGTCGCTGTTTGCTGAGGCGCACATAGTAGCAAGCATTATCACTCGCTGTGTGCTGGAGCTGGTCGTCTCTCTTTCTCCTCTATCTCCACACTGACACATCCATCTATCCGTCTATATCTGTTTATCTCATTTCTATTCATTGCCATCCCACCGTTCTTAGATATCGTGCATTTCTTCATTTCTTTTGCAATTTGCCCTCCAACCCTCCTGCTTCCTTCTCATCTTTTAATATCTTTCTTTCAAAGGAGGGAGGAATAATGAAAAATTTGAACTCAGGTGGGATTGCTGTTACCCCAAGCAAGTGAGGTATAACATAGCCTACAGTTCAAACAATGCATTTTGAAGAAGATTTCATAACTTTTCGTTTTTTATTGTTTGCTAACTATGTTTTTCTAATGGCCTGTAAATACAGAAAATAAATAGGTAATTATTTATCAAGTTAATCACGTAGACCCTTATAAGGAAATACAAGTCTAAAAAAGGTGAATTACTATCTCATTATCTAATATCTGAAGAGGGTATAATGCCATTGGTCCCAAGAAGACCATCATGCATAATAAAGGTGCCCATTGTACGCAGAACCAGAAATTCGGATGGAAATGGCTCCCGTGACAAAAACAAGAGATTTTTTCATTGGATTTTTGAATAATTCAGCATGTAAGATCTTTGGCAAACACACCGTTATGATACTAACACGTGTGGTGCAGCAGGATAATCTCACATAAGAGTGCTTTCATGATGGCTGTAGCGTAAATGCCAGAAGTAAATAGCTAGTGTTACGGCCCGTCTACACTACAGGCATCAAAAAATCTTGAAGCTGGGCGTGTCTGAGGCTTGGCGATTTCTCGCGCCCAAGGCGACCAACAACCAATCAGGAATCTCCCGCCCCCGGCATACAAAGCAAAAAAAAGCCTGCTTCTTCCACGAAGTAAACTGGATATAAACTCCCCAAACAGTTGAAAACCTACCAGTTTCACCAGCTGTCTCTGCCACCTCCCGCCATGCCTGGTTCCTCCGGTTTAGGTCCCGGTAGGTGAACAGAGTACAGTCATACAGGACTGGGACACTTGCCACGGCAATGATTAATTTATCCTCCATTTTATGACATATAGAAAATAGTCAAGACCTGCGGTATCAGCTTACACGTGGTTTGATTGGCTAGCGCTTGTACTGGCGGGAATTGCATAAACGGGATTTGATTGGCTGATGCCAAGCATCGAGCCTCAAAAGTTGAACATTGTTCAACTTTTGATGCCGATAGATGCTCGTGATGCTTGCAAAGCCATGCCATGCTCCCCACAATGCAGTTCGGCGAAGATTAAAAATCTTCTACGTCACCCCATTCAAGTGAATGGGCGAAGCGTTGAAAGCATTTTTCGATGCCTGTAGTGTAGACGGGCCGTAACATATTAGGCTTGTTTGAGACAAGCGAGACCTGCGCAGACCTGCACAATTTCGATCAACGTCTTGCTAGTGCGTTGCATGATGGTTAGTCATTTTGTCCGACTTGCTCTGGAGGCTCGCCTACATGAGACGTTGAAATCTCGCGGGACAAAGATGCCCGCAGCCTTGAGAGCGAGACGCGGCGAGGCGGCGCAGTTCCTCTCCACGGGCTGCGGAAGCGAAATGCTTGATGGGAAACGACTCGCTGGTATCTATTTGTTGGTTATATTTACGTTAAGAGTATCGTCGTTAGAGTAAGTTCCTATCAGTCAACTATGGTCTTCAGTGCATCCGTGTTTACTGCTAACGACCGGGGATGCTCGGTGTGTGGGGCGACGGGTCTGCCGAGCTAGATCTCGCTGCTCCTGCTGTGCGGCGCCGCGGCCCTCATCCTGAGGCTCTTATAACGGTACAGTACGTGCAACGTGGACATACTAGACACCATATACACCGACAGTGGTTGTGTTCTGGTTTTTGATTAGGTGGTGTATTAGTTTTGTTGTCACACTGCTCATTAATACGTCGATTATGTTGCCGACCGCCCTTTATCGTGATGGCACTACGTTTCATCGGGTAGGAGTGTGTGTGTGAGTGGAAGATAAACGTGTGTAATTAATTGTGTCTTTGCTCGCGATTCCATAAGTTTGTGTTATGTGTTGTTCTTATTTAACCCGTCAGACGGTGCGAAGACGCGGACTCTATGACCGAACGGCAGGCACGGCGTGGTAGTTGTTGCTGATCTCTTTACATTATTTTCCGCTCGTAAGAGTCACACGCGACCGTTTCGTGCTCGGCTCTCGTACATCACGTAACGCTCGCTACCTTGTAATTGGCGCAACTCCACGTGTAGTCGGTAATTATCATCACGTTTTTATATCCTGTCAGACTCTGCGCAACGCCGAGCGGAGCTTTCATGCTGCTCTGCGCGGCTAGCGTACACGAGTAACAACCTTTCTGCAAAGTTTTTCGAGCGGACACTAGGCCTAGTCAGGCGCACGCTCTAGCCGAAGAGAAGAGGATACCGCAATTATGACCAAACAAAAATCGCGGCGCTAGATATGATTGAAACATTTCCGGCTCGGTCTTCCGAAGGTTGTGTTGTAAATCCAATATGCTCCTCGCTGGCTTTAAGGCGTTCAGCAAGTATGCACCAGATTTTCCGTTACGACGTATAGTCCTAGCTATATCCCGTGCTCTGGGATGAAAATTTTTCATGTTACCATACGCGGCGTTTGGTATGGCCTTTCAGAAACAGAGCGTACTATATAAGACATGCGGAGAAGAGATAAGCGCCTTATAGCTATGTACAATATAGCCATGAAAATTAGCAGCTTCATCTCTCTTTATGTGGAG